ACACATAATTATAATGCCTGATGAAACGAAGGTTTTTTTGTTCCACATCGGGCTGAAGATGACGATGCTGCGGCCGCAGACGCCGTTGAGGAGAAATATGTGGGTGAATATTGTAAAAAAAAAAAACACGCCTGAACACGCGCATTAAAGACTGAGAAGTGCAAATGCAGGCGGAAAGAGCAACAACGTATGCATAAACGCAGGTGAAGAAAAAAGGAGAAACCAATAATGGCCCAATGAGCATGAAAAAACCAAACTGTAGTGCCCGTTGAAGAATCAAACAAAAGTAGAGAGCGACAAGCAAAAACTTTGTTCTTTCTTTCTTCCTTGCAAAAGAGGTGAAATGATACGGAGATTTAAATGAAAAAAAGCCAACAATGAAAACGTACTTCTCGCAAGGGAAGCATCCGTTGGTCTGTGAGAAAAAAAAAATAAATGCAGAGGACATGAAAAAACTCACATATGAAAAGTATTTCCAAACGAAGTACACAACTTAAGTTTACTTTTCGAAATATTAAAGACCATTGTTTTTAAAAATTATTTATTAATTGATCCGCTCATTATTACTTGACCTTAAGCAATAAAAAGGTGGTGCATTAAAACAACAAACAACTTAATTACTGCTTTGTTATTTTGATTTATCTAAAGAAAAAAAATATATTCTCAATCCTCCCCCAAGACTTTAAACCACCACTAGATCAAAAACCGAAAAGTCAGTGGAAAATCATGAACGACCAGCCAACACATGTAACACCAGACGCTAAACGTCCGCGTTGCAGATGTAACACTCAAGAGCTTCTTCGTCCTTTAGTAAAGGAAGCAGCGCGGCAAGCAAGGGGTGGTTGAGCTTACGAACAAAAACCGCAGTCGGTCCCAATTAGAGCGGCTCCGCGGGGTATTACGTATACTTAATTAATTCCTTCGCTAATTAAATGCTCCAAGCGCGCGATGCTTCGTTTCTTTTTTCTGCGCAATCGTTGCACCCCCGCATCGTTTCGAGCTTTTCTTTTTTTTTTTTCCTTTCGAAAAATTCACGGTCCACTCGAGAGGACAATACTGCGGATCTTTCGGAAACACAATGCGGAGTACCTACACGTGTGATACTCGTGTATGATTACAATACGAATAGAGCAAGCTTGGATGACGCATTTTTTTTCCAACGAATGGGGAATCATTGTGTGAAAATTGTTGTAAAAAAATTATTTTGAAAATCGAAGCAGAGTAAAATGTCGCGTTGCAATGAAAAAAAAAAAAAAAGTCCCTACGAGTCCCTTTGGTGTTTGCATGCCATGCCAAAACGAGTAAGGGCGAGCCGGCACGCAGTTGCCGGCAGACCCGCAACGAACTACTGTGTCTCTTGTAAGTGGCCCCGTGTTGTCCAGGAGGTGCGCTTCAAAATCAACGATCCCAAGGCGCACAGTAAAGGCGGCACGCTAGAGAACACGATCAACGGCCGTGCCGACGAGGAGGCGCCCTTGCCCGCCCAGCTCCTACCGCCCGGCAAAGACATTAGCAACATATATGGTATGCCTTTTACTTCTGCCATCTACGTTCATGAATAAATACGTTTTTTTAACATTTTTTGGTCAAACACTTGCGTTTTCTATTTTAATGTATTACACTTGAAGGAGTTGTCATCTTAGTACATTTTTTTTATAATTTACAAAATGATAATCAAATTATTACCAGCCATACGTAACTTGAATTATTGTTATCTGAAATATTCTAGAGAATTTTTATAATGTTTCGTTTCGTCAGTTTTTTAATCCTTGTCAGCATACCAATATACAGGTTTTTTTTCAACATCACGAGAATATTGACGATTCTTTTTCATAAATTCGCTTTTTTTCCGTGTTTTTCGTTACTTAACTATGTTTAAAAATAAATTGTTTCTATCATATCATAACGTCGACTAAAAGTATAAATATGACGATTATATGGACAAAATGAAAATAAATAATTTTTCACTAAAGTACAAAATTTTTAAATATTATCTAAATCAACCAAGTTGAGAGATGTGCGTGAATGAAACGGGTAACAGTACGATAAAATATTGGAGGAGTCGTATCACTGAGTTAATATTAAAATGTGCTGTTTCTCAAATTTTTTCTCCCAGCTCAAGAGGATCCTCACGCCGCACTTCAAAACTTTCCGAAGGCGACAAAACATACGATGTTAGGTAAATACTTTATTGTATGTTGCTAAACAATGCATCCGAAACAGGACTCGAGCTTGCATTATAATATTTATAAGCTCATCGTTATATAAACACCACAGATGCTCACTTTCTTGGTTTAATAATATTTTGAAAACTAAATTTCAGGCGTAACGCCGTCGGACATCGACAAGTACTCCCGCATCGTGTTTCCGGTCTGCTTCGTCTGCTTCAACCTGATGTACTGGATCATATACCTGCACATTAGCGACGTCGTCGCGGACGATCTCGTCCTGCTCGAAGAAGCCAAGTAAAGGACGCCAAGTGACGCCGCGACGACTGAAACTAAAAACAACTCACACAAAAAAAAACAATTTACTATGAATTAAAAAATAAAAAAAATTTAACAAACGACGGTGACGACGTCGAAACGCGCAAGCACACACTGTCATTCACTTCACTCATCTACACACGTTCACGCGCATATACGATTAACCAAAAAGTAATAATAAAAATTAATCATAATATTAATAATATTAATAATAAAGCCGCATCACTTATCCTTCGTCTTTCCTCTCCTCCTGCACTTTGCCCCGTAGGTCAACGTCCCTGCGACGACGACTCTGTATACCGTTATGTATCGCTGCCACGTACACGTATACACCCGACAAAGTTTTGCTTCCCCACAATTGTCGTGTTAATACGCGATTATCACCCAATGCCACGAATATGAAAACATACATATTTTCGTGCACACAATAGGCATCCACGACTCTTCACTTTATTCTAATGAAGCTTTCATATGACACAGTTTTGGCTGTCACCTCTGATGTGTCATGAAAAAACAAAAAACTCGTGATCTATTACACTCTAATTGTTAATAGTTTGGAGCGTGATCCATACCCATACGAAGCTCGTCTACCCCACGCAACTGCTTGTACAAATATATAATACAAAGTTTCCAAAGACACCGTCATCATAATTATATAATAATCATCGCAGGCCCGTCAGCGACAGACAGAGTACATGTATACCAATATATATATTGTATCGGTTTATGCGTGGTACAGAGTACCAGAGCGCGATTTCACGGATCGCCGAGCAAATTCTCGAGATCGCTGCTCCCAGTTATCGGAGTATACAGTGGAGTTCTCGAGGCGATAATTAGTCGGCTCGCTTACCCCCGTACACACGTGCAGTGATGGCTCCAAAAACAACTAATAGTGTATTGTTGTATGCAGATGTAATTCACTTGCACTTTGTTAGAGGAACAGCACGTAAGTGCCGATGNAGTTATATTAAATTAAAAAAAAAAAAAAAAAAATGATACGTCAATTTAGCCGCATTAGTTAAATAAGCTCGTCGACGAGAAAATGTATAAGCCGAACGATCAATAAAAAATTATTAAAAATAAAACAATACATAGATACTCAACTAAACGAATCGACACGAATAACAAAGTATTGAAAACTACCAAAAACTAGTTAAGAATTAAAACTAACCTTTAAAAAACAAATAATTAATGAAAAAAAAAAAAAACGTCTAGTTAGAATTATTAAGGAGAAAATAAAAAAATAACTCTTACGTACACGAGAGCGTGCGAGCATGTGATGTGAGATTGTTTTGGCTGTGTTGAGGAGTTGGGAAGTTTAGTAGGAAAAAAAAAATTGAAAAAAAAAAAAACACGTAAACGACGATCCTAAGTGCTTCAGAGCGTTTTTACACCTTTTTAATAAAGACTTTAAATAAACGAAAAAATTATGAGCACGAGCAAAGTAACGTACGATCCGAGGGAATTTTAGTAATGAATAAAAATGAATTCCAAAACTCGATTTTAATTTTCCACCAATACGAATTGAAAAATAAATTTCAACCGCATAAATTTGTACGCGTCTGACTAAACTCGGGCACTTACTACTGGCCGACACGAGAAAACGCGCGCATGTAAATCACTGGCAAACACCTCGAGCAAAATGCCTCTTCTACCTCCCACTTCTCGGTTAAAAAAGAGAAGATCGTCGATGAGCTATCATAAATTTCGCTCCCTGGGTATGACGCGCCGACAAGGGAAATGCAAATCCAAGCTCAACAAGCTGGCTCTCCTGACTCCGCGGCTCTTTTATTCCGCTTTACTTGCTTGCTTGCGCAGCTTCGTGTTCCACTTATGTGCTGGTACGCTGAATAAAAAAAAATCGAGGAAAATAACCATGGAGCTCGGGCTGGCTCATTTCTAATCCAAATTCGATGCTGTACCTTCCCTCCCTTCCTCTCGGTGGGTCTGTTTTTTTCCGACCACGAGTCATAACGTAACTTTTATTTTTCTTTTCTCCCTTTGAAATAGGAATCTCTAAATTGAAGGTTACATTTAAGCGATTTATTTTGATTTTCACGGAAAGAATATGACTCTCAACGTTACCAAAGTACCATAAACTATACGACCCAACCATTTGATGAAAAAATTTTTTTAAACGGCAACACTTGAAGTAACTTGAGAAATTAGAAATAAAAACGAGGTGTACATATACACACAAGGAGATTGATCGATGATTATTGACAGAGAAGACCAGAACACTTCCACAAATGAAGTATCGTGTGTAAAAAAAAAAAAAAAAACATACTTCTTCGTGTATATTAACGCCTCGATGGTGCAGAAGCAAACTTGGAAAACTTCGTCAGCGCAGGTCTGCAGTCGACGCGAAAATTCCATCCTCGGCAGAACACGATAAGCTTCGCATGCAAGCCAGCTTTTGCACCGTCCGTCCGTCCATACGTCCGTCTGCCCGTCTGTCGCCGATCGAGAATTCATGGGAGAGCAGTTTTGAAAACGCGAGGCTCCAAGACACGCGATCCGAGATTGTACTTACCCGGGAATCGATTCATCGCGAGGATTCCGCCGGGGCAGCTCTGATTGTTCGGGGAACGTGCCTATGGGATGGGTAATCACGGTGCTCGGCTCGACTCGATTTTATTCTTATTTTATCATTCTTTTCCCCCCAACAGTTTTTACAATGGCACTTGCAGCCTTTTCACGAAATGCAAAAACTACGTCTTTTTTCTAAAAAATGTATCAAAGTGGTGGGTGGTCGTTGGAATTCATCAATAAGGACAAAGACAGCCGGACGGTAGAGCTGTGTGGGGGGGGGGGAAGAAAAACGAAGCTATAGGAAATCGGTTGAGCGCGGTTATTTGCATGGATCTCGATACATGAAGAAGTGTGTGGAAAAATGTGATATTAAACGTGGCCGAGTAGAAGCAGGAGATTTGAGTATCGATTATGTCAACTAAACAAACGCGGGCATTTGGAAAAGTGTCTGATTGGACATTCGCACATGCTCTTCCCATGCCTCGTTATCCTTTTCAATGGTTCGTGGTTTTTTTTTTTTTTTTTTTTTTTTTTTTTTTTTTTTTTTTTTTTTT